GTACACTTAGCTTCATTATTATTAATATACCTCTTCTGTGTAGCTAGTTAAAGAGCTACTATTCAGCTCGATCAGCAACTCTTAGATTGACAGTGATAAAAAGAAATCCATGCTCATTATGCCATAACCCTGACAATTACCTTTTTTGTTTGTTTGAGTAAAGAGAAGCACATCGACACAATTATGGTCATTTAGTGCTGAGAAAATGTTATAGACAGAGAGAAAGAGCCGAAGAAATGTAAATGAACATTTCCCCACAATAATATTATACTGCGGGTTATCAACAATCCTCAGTAGTTATTAATATTCAGCTTAGTTGGTACTCGTATACATTATACTGAAATTTGATCACTGCTGTCAAAGAAATCTTACATCTTCAAACCTATGCCTCCATAAGAATATTGGAGTTACTCTAAAACAAACAAAACATGTATCCACTCACTACTTACTTTCATACATACAAGTCCAGAAAATTCACCTCAACACAGAGGGCAAAAAAGGGCAGAAAGCTTACAGAAACATCACCTTTTGTGAGACCAGCATGCACAGTAAGGTATCCTGAAATAAATAAAAAGAATCCACTTTCATTTTTCACACACGCTTGGTACCTACAAAATATAAGCTTAGGCCTACCATAATTCACACTGATTCATCTGATCTTTGTATACACGCACTTGCAGTTTGTCAAAACTGGCTGCAGTTATGGGAACAAGTTGTGTTTGCACCAAACAACATTACAGATTCAAAATTGCTTCTTGAGACAACATAATGTATTATTTTAAAAGGTTTGGGCTCTTTACTTTCAACAATATTTAAGCCAGATATGAATTTTTAAAATTAAACACAAGGCATGTTTATAGAACAATTCTGATCAGGCGTTTAAACAGGGTAAAAAGAAAGCAAAGTCATTTGAAAAGGTCAGGTTCGAATGAGAAACAAACATTGTTAGCCTCCGTTCGTTTGCAAGAAAATAATCCCACGTGAGAAATTTTCACCAGTCACATGCACAGGTGGATGATTGACTTGTGCACTTTTCTTAGTTATTCAGAGGCTTTGTTGTGTTTTAGGTGTATTTCCCGTGTTAAATCCGCAAAAGACTGGGCAGGGTTATAAAAATAAAAAGAATGCAGGGAAAGAGGGAGGGGGGGGGTCCGATAAACAA